TAAAAAGCATTGTGAATATAAAATACTACGAAACTTCTATGGTGAAGTAGTTTTTATTCAAACATATATTATAGAAGTAACATTCGTTTGAATATGCAATAATACAATTTATTATATAGTCTATAAATATCCCCTATATAATCTATACAAACGGTTCATAACACTACATATTCACTGGATTTGAAGCCGTATTCACCGGAGGGTCACTGCGCGTGCAGCAGCATTGTGACGTCACAATCAATACCCCAACGTTGAAAACAATATGGTTACAACGGCCGGTGTAAAGACAAATAATGACCCCCATAGAATAATGACTGGGGGTCATTTTTCGACGTCGAATAATGACCCCCGGTCATTATCTAACGGCGAAAAATGACCCCCGGTCATTATTCGACGTCGAAAAATGACCTTTTTGCCCGTAGAAAAAGTGGCATCACCCTAAAAACATGCAAACCCCACGTGAAGAAAAATGACCCCCGTAGAATAATGACTCCTTGTGAATTAAAGCGGATTAAAGTTGAAACTTTTAGAGGGCAAAATAAAAATAATAAATCAAGAGACCTGTTGCCCAAAATGCTGACTTGAGCTTTATTGGGAATAAATCAATGATATATTGATCTCATTACATTATACAATCATTGCTGTTTTTAAGGTCAATTCAATGATTCAGAATCTAGTGGAGTTAAAGATTTATCGAGTCCAAAGGGTGAGGAGAGCATTGTTTTTCGATGGTGGAAAATCACTGATCGTCCTGACAGAAAAAAACAGTAATAATTGTTTTATTATATGATTCAACGATTAAATTGATACAAACTGATTAAGCAGACATGTCAAGTTTCTTGTCTACATTTGCTCGAGTCCTAATCAAACACGGTGAAAGAATAGGAGTTAACATAAGCATAACCAGTATTAATTTTGCATTTAAAATCTAGTTTTGGTACAATGTAGAAAAAATAAATGTCAGGCATAGCATCGACCAGATCTTTGCACTCCGCAACATCATAGAGCAGTGCACAGAGTGGCAGAAACAACTGTATGTAAACTTTGTGGACTTTGAAAAGGCATTTGACAGCATACATCGAGATAGCCTTTGGAGCATTCTACGTCATTATGGTATTCCATCCAAACTGGTCCACCTGATCAAGAGTTTTATAACAACTTCAGATGCTCAGTAGGACACAATAACACCTTCTTCGATGTTAAAACCGGAGTCAGACAAGGATGCGTAATGTCTGCAGTATTATTCAACTTGGTCATCGATTGGGTCATGCGGAAGACAACAGAAGACTCTCCAAGGGGGATCCGCTGGGGCCTGTTCTCAACATTAGAGGATCTGGACTTTGCGGATGACCTTGCGCTTATGTCTCACACACACCAGCATATCCAAGAGAAGACCAACAGGCTGCAAATCTACGGACATCAGGTGAGGCTTCGCATCAGTACGAAGAAGACGGAGACAATGACACTTAATGTGGAATTACCTGCTGTTGTTAAGGTCAAGATCTAGTAAATGAAAGATGCCTACAAATTTTTCAACTTTGAGAAACGAGTTCTTTTTATGATCCTTTACAAATATGGCTTGCTAAAATAGGGTGTTTCGGGACACAATTTTTTGATAAACTAGACGAAAAAACATATTTTAAATTGTAATTTCTAATGAAAAACGAAGAAAGTCAGGAATAAATTTAGGAGTTTTTTCCATCTCAGATAAAAGAAATGTATCAATATTGCTTACAGTTTCTCAGAAAACGGTTTTTCATTTCTTCTTAACCTCTATTTTAAAATGATATTAAATTGAATATAGATATCGGGGTTACTTTTGACATGATTTCAAATTGAATACATTGAAAATCCTTCATTTGCTACACAATTCTTTTAAAGCCATAAAGTACGGGAAAAATTAATCTTAAAACAATTATGACGTCATAGTGGATCTAGCACCAAAAAGACAGTTTAAAGTCATTTACTAGATCTTGACCTTAAGATCAATGGTGATGAACTACGCCAGACGGATAATTTTATTTACCTGGGTAGCATCATTAAACCAGAGGGCGGCACAAAGGAGGACATCCACAGCAGACTGGGCAAGGCCAGGGGAGTATTTAGAGAAATGAATAACATCTGCACAGTACAGCACCAGCACCAAGCTGAAGCTTTACCAGAGCTGTGTTGTATCAAATCGCCTATATGGATTGGAATGCTGGAGAATAACAGAGACGGATCTTAGCAAATTACGATCCTTCCATACCACATGCCTCCGCCGAATACTCAGGATTTTCTGGCCCGAGAAGATAACAAAAGAAGACCTGCTGCGCTGATGCAAACAAGAGGACATGGGTACCATCATTACCAAACGCCGATGGAGATGGATTTGACATGTTCTCCGAAAAGATCCCCAGTCAACAACAAGAACAGCACTGCATTGGACCCCAGAGGGCAAAAGAAAGAAGGGAGGCCTAGAACATCATGGCGAAGGACAGTTGAAAGCGAGATGAAAGCTATGCACCGACCTGGGGATCATTGACGAGGCTGGCCAAGGATAGACAAGAGTGGAGGAAGTTTGTTGCTGCCCTACATACCACAGGGTGTAAAGGACAATGATGATGATGATAGCATCGAAAGGGGAAATGGCGCATTATAAGAGGAAAAAAATACTTTTAGTTAAAAATATCTTTGACAAACCCCTTAAAAAGTTATTGATGTAAGTGGGATACTCTACTCTATCAAAGTGAAAATCTTGTTCACTCAAGTAGGAGAGATTTTTTTACTATACTGTATAAGAAAGAGGGGATGGTTACAAGACTTTCGATGAGCATTTTCAAATTAGAAATTGCTAAAATTTACATTCAGAAAAGGGGGAACAATACCTCCCTCTTCTCCGATTCTTTGTGCTTGAATATTATGTTCACTTGAGTAGAATTCAGATGCAGGTGAAATACCTTTTCAGAATTGTTTTTAATCTATTTTAAGTTCAATGTAAGAAAAATAAATCCTTATACATGTACATGTATTCACCTTGAAGGTCAATAAAATAATCTGTCTTTAATTATAAATTGAAGACATTAATCTACTTCAATATACACTGTATTGAAAATGTTTCCATATTGATTTGACAAATGTATCACTGTTTAAAAGTGGATTAAAAAATATTCCTCTTACATGTATGTATCCTATTCTCAGACGACCATGTTAACAGACTTGAATGTACATTATACTGGGATTCTCCTGTATTACTTCTATATACTTGAAAAGAAATCCGCATAGAGTAGACCACTGTTTATAAATAAAATTGAATGCACATTATAAGATTGTATATATTTCAGACATGCAGAAATTTTATGTCCTTCTTATGTTTGTCATGTCTGCTTCATATTTGGACGTTCTACTGACTATAGACGATAAGGACCAACTATCAACTAAATTGTCTGACAAACGGGGTGACTTCAGCCTTTCTATTGTCAGTATGTCTATCGCACGAGTTATTACGTCATTTTCGATACATTCTATCTCATTTGCACGACTTTTTATGTCATTCAAAATATACATATATATTACATTGCATAACTTTCCGTATTTATTTCTGAAAACTTATCTCATTCTTTTTTTTCCTTCATTTTTTTTTTAAATTTGATCCTACTCAAAGCATGCTGATTACTTCGGGAGACATGTTTACCAATGAAAAGCCAGAACATCCCGCTTGTCTGTTATTTGGCTATGAATGTCTATAATCAGTCAAATATCCAAATATGAAACAAATGGAAGACAATCATAAGGGGAATTTACATTAACAGTTATAATCAATAGTAGCCATTTAGCGATTTTCAATATGTGCTGAGAACACAATAGGCTTAAAAGATAGAAATATGCAGGTAAATGTAATGCGGTTTTATTGCATTTTAATTCCGCGTTCGTCCAGTGTTGGTCAAAAAGGGCATGAAGAAGAATATCAAGCATTGAGGTTCAAACCTTTGCATCAATCACCAGTTATAAATTTTGTATCATGCATTCTGTTGGAAAGGGGGTCATTTTTCAACGGTATCAATTTTTTATAGGATGCACACATAAAATAATGACCCCTATGTCTCTTTTTCTACAAAAAATTAATTTTTTTCTACGGCTGGGGGGGGGGGGGTCATTTTTTGTCGTTGAAATATGACCCCCTGGTCATTATTCTATGGGGGTCATTATTCGTCTTTACACCGGAGCCAGCTGCTTATCTGAGCAGGAAAAATGTTAAGCAAATGTTTTCGCAGGATTATTTTCCAAACATTTCAATGTCTTACACACAGCGAAATGAAATCACGGAAGTTAAAAGTTGTAATCTGTACGGTTTTTTAATTTTATTTTTCTACGACAGAGGTTCGTTAATGATAAAAGGTATCGTCATGCAGCCTTCAATGTCTTATTTCTTCAAATACGGACTATATAATAAAACAATTATGGACTCTTTCGGTGGTGAATATTGTTTTTTATTCACCAGAAAAATATCAGTATTGACCGAGGCGAAGCCGAGGTCAATATTGATATTTTTCTGGTGAATAACAAACCATATTCAACACCAACAGAGTCCATAAATGTATAAGATTTTTGTTTTTGTTTTTATCTATTTCATATAAATCTGTTATTCTTAACAATGATTTTTATGTCCATCTTGAATTCTTTTTCAATTAACGAGCATACAAAAATGCATTATTATCTCCTAAAATGCCATTGTTACGCTAAATTTTGAAAGTAATGCATATGCATTACGCAACTATTACGTTATACAGATTTTGTTTTAACTAGCAAGACTTCAATTTCGAGTACATGTAATGAATTACAATGCAATATCATTACATAAAGCGTCACCGAAGATGTGACTATGAAGTCTACATTTGTTAGATTAATAAGCTTAATGTTAAAAGTCGCAAAAAAATAAACTAAAAAATATCACAGCATAGATGACAAACTCATATGTTTTATACACAAACTTTGAATAATTATAGCTATGAAATACAAATTAAATTTTTTTAATTAAAACAAATTAATTTTTTTCTTCCGTTTTCACATAAACTTTGCACAATCATTTAAGTAAGTAATTTTTCTACAAATAAGGATAACAAATATATAAATTCGTTTGATGAAGCCTAGATTGTGCATACAAAAGTGTGTATAAACATGGTTCAAAATCATTTCAATCATTGAACCTTTTGAAAGTGTATGTAAACGCAAGTCCTAAAGCCATGACCGACAGACTGATAAAAAGGCCTGCAGCACCTGTAATGAAAGAAGATTTAATGTAACTTTTAAACAAAGGTGAATGACTACATTTTAAAAAAAAAACACCTGATGTAATTTTAAATTGATATTTCATTAAATATTCACGCAGTGTATATTTGTAGTAACATTTTATTTTTAAGTTCCTTTGTCAAGCTGAAACATTTAAAGGTACGTACCGCACCCGTATTGGTTGAGCGCTTGTCTTGCTTGGTTCATGTATTGGTTTACAGTATTACGCGACGGGCTGTCCATGGTACAGGTAGTCAACACTTTGTTTATACAATCAAGAAATTGGTGAGCTGCACTGTTCAACAAAGAGTAATACAACAAATATTATTTAACCCTGGAAGCCACCAGAAGTATTGTTATAAAAAGATTCATTTTTTAACCCTGGAAGCCTCCATAAGAATTTTTTATCAGAGTCAATACAGAGTGTAGAAATAGTACAATGTGGACTCGATGACATTTTACAAAAATTTCCTTTGTGAGAGCAATCCATAAATATATCGACTTCACAGAAAATCATATCGAAGGAGAACGAAATGCGAGGTTAAATGTTTCTGAGAAGTCAGTACATGTGTGTAACTTGATTGAATTAAAGAGTTTCATATGATGCTCTGTTTTTTTTTTCTACAAAGGCGAATTGTTATGCTATTTTTTTCTCGAAAGATTGACAAAATTTCAAACTGATAATGAGAATTGCAAGATCAGTGTAAATTACATTTAACGCATGTAACGCATTCATTTTCTTAAATCTATTTTTGGAATCAAAATCAGCGAATCACGTTCATTCCTACACGCAGCAAAACTTCCCTTATCTAGTAAAAAACTACAAAATTTCAAATTGATAATGAGAATTCCAAGTGTAAATTACATTTAACGCAGGTAACGTATTCATTTTCTTTAATCTATTTTTGGAATCAATTCAGCGAATCACGTTCATTGCTATACGCAGCAAAACTTCCCTTATCTAGTGTAGCAGACAGTATATAAGGAACATAAGCTGCCTCTCACTAGTGGCCGTATTTTATGGTGATGCTTAATTTAGAGTTTCCTTCCATTTTAGACAAGTTAATTTTGCGGCGAGTCTATATGGCCCTGGTTGACCGCTTCAGGTCACAAACGTAGTCACAGTGGGTTTTTTTTTTTTGGTTTTTTTTTTAATTACTGACCTGCTTCAGGAAGCTCTAGGGCTAGGACTTTGTGTCTCTTTTCTGATTAAGTATACCTGAAGAGACCCCAGGCACACACAGAGGGACGAAGATTCCCTGAGCTGAGGGAATTCTAGCGGACAGGATACAGTTAATTTATACTGCCTCACTAATGAGCTAGCTTTTCTAGTGATATGGTATGGTATAATCTTTCTTCATTTCAAGCAAACTAGGCTGTAATTAAGTCTTTAAAGCCCTTAAAAGGGTGATTGCTTCATATTAAACGTTACGCTTTATTGAAAAGTACAGTTTTGTTTTAATTAGAAAGAACCGGTGTATCTACATTCGTAACTACAAAAATGAAATATCACAGAGTATAAAAACAAAATGTAATTCACAGAATACAAGATAAGAAACGAATTAGAGTGCTACTTATATTCATCCCCTTTTACATGTCTTTGTAGTTATTCCAATACATGGGTAGTAACCCTTCATGTATTTTCATTCTACACATGAGCATGATGATATTTAGATGTAGTTTATCATCAATTGTGTTTATTAATTGGTAATGCAGCAATTTTGACGATTTTTTAACACACTGAAGGGATTCTGTCCTTGTTCAGTGTTTTTTTTTTTCTCATAACTGCCTTTCCAGAGAATTTACTGCATTTCCCCGCTTTGGTAGTATGAAAAATTTCTTCACAGATGTATTGTTTATATCAGTTTTCTCAAATTAAACATTTAACATCTGTATAATGATTTTTTTTTCCCTTTATTTCCCGTTGCATCGTTTTCATGCAGGTGATCTGCTTTGTTCAGCAAAAGGGAATAGTTCGAAAAGAAACGAAAGCTAGTATACAGTTAAAGTACATCATTGAGGGAGTTAGCAAGATTCCAGTTCACCAAGGCCAGGACTATTTCCCGAGGCGAAGCCGAGGGAAATAGTCCTGGTCGAGGGGAACTGGAATCTTGCTAACTCCCGCAATGATATTCTTTTAACTGTTTTATTATACCGATACAAACGTAAAATTAAGAAGATTCAGATAGCATAATTTCATAGCAGGGATTAGCTCACTGAACTAACACACGGGGATTAGTCCATTCACATATCATACCAAGGTTAAAGTAAAACCTAGAGGATTACAGATAACCAGGAATTAGCTTTCGAATCAGGGATTAGCTCACTTGACTAACACACGGGGATTAGTCCATTCTTAACGATTTCTAGGGAAATAGTCACATCTAACGAACTAATGTTATATAGGGAAAAAATCAGTAGAGGTATAATAATAGAAAATAAGTCGAGATCGTACCGGATAATTTTAGAATTCAGGAAAATAGCGTAAAAAATATTTTATTTTTCGATCACGAAGTACCTTGGAAAGAGAAATATCTGACCTCGACCATCATAGTCCCGGCTAATTTGTGAAAATTTTATTTATGCATGTATCAAAGAATTTGTTTTCAATCAATTTGAAACGCCAATTCTCATCAATGTTACAGATATTAAACGAAAATATGATAATGGAAATATATATCAAAGCAGATTTTAATCAGATATGTCAATCAACAAACAAAAAAGATAAACCTGCAAATTTTTTCATAATTGTTTGCATCAGCTCCATAAGCATTTACAGCATTGACGAAGTTAGTACTGCAGGTGAGAGCGTCATCTGAGAAACATCCCTGTGCAACAGTTCCTAAGAAATGATATAAAATTTATAATTTTATTTTGTAATATCAGTATGCTTATTTTACATCAAATGTTTTGTTGTCAAAGTTAATACTGGACATGTAAATAAAAGTATGAACTGCTTTTTCAAATTCGAAAATGATAAAAGAAGATTTGTAGATAGTGTATCTACTTTTTAAACGCAAAGTACACGTGATTGTAACTTTGCTAAAAAACATTATTTATTTTCTTGCAATCATGCTCTTCCATCTTTTCATTTTTTTTTTCAAATTTACACGAAGTTCTAATATTCGCAGTCTTTAGTGACCGAACTCGATATCAAACCACTACATAAATTAAAAAGGATAACTCTTCTGTGTCAATATATAAATTATATGTAATACACAAATGGTATCAAATTGAAAAATGAATTTAATGATAATAAAGATAGAAAAAGGATATCGAGTGTAAATGGTTTAATTACGGGGAAATGTGAAAACAGATTCATGCATTCAGTCCAGTGGGAATCTAGAGGATTATTGATTGTGCAGAGCAAACGATTAGCCCTAAGGAGTAAATTAACGATTAATTTAGCATTAGAAACTGAAAACGGTACATAATTCAGTATTTTATTTTGAGATTTTAAATTTTAAAGATCGACGATGATCTAAATGTGGAGCCAATAGTTTACTGTTGAGGAACTACATGTATGATGCTGATTTTTTTTTTACTGTGGCGCGAGGCAGCCATGTTAAACGGCCCATAGAGATCCCTGCGTAGTTTTCTTCTTCTTCTTCTTCTTTTTTTTTTTTTTTTTTTTTTGAAAAGGATAATCTGAATGTCAAGGCATACTGAATATCAATAGGCAAACTATATTAAAAATTTCCCTTATCCCTTTGTTTGAAGGATTAAGGAATGGAGTTCTAGATTTGAAACATTTAAAGTATTGATATGCTCATTGCTGTATCTATTACTATGGATTAGTGAGGATGCCCTGCAGACATTACCGACAACCCTGTGCTGTTGACTCGTTTATTATAATACACTTCCGGTACATAAACTAATAATAGAATGATGATAAGATATAATAATTCCGGATACTACACTCATAATTAAATTATTTGAAAAAAAAATACGAGATGAATTTGTTTGTTGGGCATAAAAATTCTTTTCACCTTGAATGTACACTGTTAATGAAATAAAACAGAAAACAAGACCAATGGTGGAGAGGCTCTGGTTTCCCATATCTTCCGTTACTGTAAAAATAAATATTTTTGATTAAGATAAATTTTGCTTCTAAACGATTAATGAATATAAATTAATAAATAAGTAAATAATTAAATAAATGATGCTTTGCTTGACATAAGGACTGATGCTCATTATTTGACTCAACTATGAATTTGTAAGCTACGAATATTTGTAATATCAAATATAGTCTTATATTCATTGTTAAATAAAATACATATCAATTCTAAAATATATACAATGTAGTTCAATTTGACAATACAATAATTCCTAAGTGATAAGTACTTTTAAATAACAAGTTATTAATTTACTGCAACAATTATAATGAATTCCTGATGGGATATTTTTATATCTTACGGTGAAATTCAGGTAAAGAAAAATTACACCGTATTAGAGCTGTCCTCAAAATCTATCCTGTAGATACATGTACATGTAAGAAGTCTTCAAACAGATGCATCATTTGAAGAAAAATTTGGAAAAATGTTTATGGATGTTTCCTTTGAACTGATCAATTTTCTTTCGACACAAATCGAGAAAGTTTCCTATTTCCAATCAACAGCATGCATAATCCTTACTTAAGCACCCGTGCTTTTCGTGGTCTTGACCTAATTCCTTTCATTGTCTCTGAAGCGCATCTCCTCGTATTTACATTGTATGACATCTTTAGGTATTTAATACAAAAAAAGGTGTATGGGCATGCACAACGCCATTATCATAATTAGATTGTGTACAAAGGGTAAACAGGTTTCATACGAATTTATAGGTGTCATCTGCTTATAGGAACGGTGTCATGCATGCATGTGTCATTCATCATTCAAGGGTTAGATGATAAATATTTTGGAAATATCTCTCTACCATGTTAGTAGTGTAAGCCATTATAAATCAGTGTAGACGCTAAAACTAATATTTCTCTTCGGAAAATCATTTCTTTTAACATAAGTATTTTCTTAACCTTTAACACAAAATATGCAAAAAAGCAGACAATTTCACAATAATTGAAGACGCAAAAACGAAATCAGTGACGTTATATGGTCTTAGTCGTTGTGTAAGTGATACCATATAATAATTATGAACAATCAAAGACCGATCAGCATAATAATAAAACCAAAGATGAAAACTGAAAGCAACGTACACATTGATTTTCAATATGGAAAAAGATATATTTCAACTTTCTTTGTTAATCTGGAAGGCATTCGTCTTAAAGTTTTATGCATTAAGTATTGCTACATCACCATTTTTAAATAAAACAAATGGTTAATTACGTTTTATTTTATAATGCAAATTTAAGGAACATTTTTATACCAGATTTGGTACGTATAAGTAACAACTGCCGTCCCGGAAAAAAACACAATTGCCATCCCTAAAAAAAGATTGTTTTAACTTTTTTTAAAAAAAATTTTGGGTGCCTTATTTATTTTAAGCCTCAATACAAAAATATATCATTTTATAAAGCTTTCAATAACAATGTTGAATTTTCACGATCATAAATCATACCCAAATGAGAACATACCTCAATGAAGTTAAACTAGAAAACGTCTTGGTAATCTACATATGTCTGCCTTTTTTTGAAGGTACTGGGTATTCCCTTTATGTGCTTCCCATAAACTGAATCTTTTATAATGTTTCCAAAACCGACTCTTCTCAGATTACTTTTTATCATGGGTTTGCAAATTTTGATCTTGTAAAAATGCAAAGGGAAATACCCATGTTCAGGGCGATAGATACACTAATTTGAATACAGATACATGTTGCCAACGCAGGATGCGCATTGTTTTTATTCATGACTGTTCTCTCCAAGGGAGGGAACATCATTAGCTTGTCAACAAACTATGTAATTCTGTAACCTTCAAAAATATGTTAATGTTTTAATGAAGAAATTTAAATTCTGATTCACAAATGGCATGACTTGTACATTATTCTCTATATACTGATTAAATGTGGTGTTTATGTTTGAATTGCATGTACCAATAAAACCTACAAGTTTCTTGGTTCAATACATGTGTGAATTTGAAAAAAAAAGCTTACTATGCAAGTGAGCATTCCTAAATATTCTCTTCTAGACTATCAATCACTGTTTGATTCTACTTAATCATACAGAAGCCCCTATGATTAACGTGATGGTTGAACCACATTTATTCATACCACGAGGAACTTTTTGCAGTTCTAGAACCGAAGAGAAATTCCAAAGCCATTTGAAACAGCTGAATGACATGACCAAAAATAATTCTTGTCACCACTTAAAATTGAAGAGGGAAGTGCGAAGGAAAGACTTTGAATAGAGGGATAAAGGTGTATCGATAATGTATTCAAGAACGGGCATCATAAAAAAGCTACAGATCATATATTTATTGAGATATAAATTTAGCAATTTTTCGTTTCCCCCTAACCTGATTTATCGAAGAGTTTTTCATCAAATAGCTATCAGATTCTATTCTTTCAAAGCATTCCAAATTTTAATGTCTAGCTTTTTTAAAATTCGTAGCAAAACACCGAATTGTGTTGACTTAAGTTTTCTTTTCTGTACCATTTTACACATATTTTTAGGCAAATGACTATTTCAAGTAATAGTTTTCTTTACACTGAATCTGCTCTGAAAAAAGTATGTCTGCAGAAAGTTTAAAACTATATTGCCCAGAATCTTAAATAACAATTTTTTTTAACCAAGAGGTGCTTTAATTTAAATATCAACAACTGCCAAATAAAAACAAGAAACCCAATGACACGCAAGGAATAAAACACATTTTGATATGTTCTTTAGAACATGAGGCCAATGGGTCACTGGAGCTTCTCAACGAAATATTAAATAAACTATTGAATATGAAATCTAGATTGGGTCATGAAGTGCACGATTGCACCATCAGATCATCGAGATTTGGGTCTACGTGATGGTATGATAGCAATGATGTGATGGTGCAATGACGATGGAGGGATGGTACGATGTCCATGAATCGATATTCACTATTGCAGCATCGTCATCGCATAGTCGCACCATCGCCTCTGAGTCATCGAGCTGTCACACCGTCGTGTCATCATCTTTGCTTCATAAAATATGGAGATAACGAACAGTAATCAAACTCAAAAGTCCATTGAAACAATACAAATTGGGAGCAGAGCAAACACGGTCCTCTAAAAACATCAGAGGTGGATCACGTGCCATGGAGGAGTAAGCAGTCACATCACCCGCCATGTGCTCCTTGTCACGATCGGGCAAAACACATCTTTGTAAATGTTATTATTACAAAGGCAAGGGTTTACACATTGATAAATTCTGAAATAAAGAAGGTTTAATCCTTATAATTCCAATAACATAAGTCATAAAATTATTTCTCTTTGAAGCCTCTATACAATTCGTTATTTCTGTATCGCGTATGAATACTTTATGCCACGATGTGAAATGAAATGTAATCCAGATAAACATCGATAAAATTCCATTTCGATTGTCAAAACTTCTATTATTGTTTATTTCAACAAATTTCTGAAATACAATAAATTACAATTCAGAGAAGTTTTTAAAGATTTCACCTGGACATTAAATACATACGCTGTAAAACAAATATAGTGTACTGATTACTGGTTTCTTACAAGACGGAGAAGAGAAGCAGAAGATGGAATATGAATTTGATGCTATTGAGGTAAGAATTTAGTGTCAACGCTGTTGAGAACTGAGCTGATTTGGACGGCGACTGTTACAACGCGAAATGTAAAATAACAACGCAAAATGTAATAAACCGGGATGATTGCATTTTGCGTTATTACATTTTACGTCGATATCGACGCAGAACATAATAACGCAAAATGTAAAAACAGACTTTTTTCAGGATTTTAACATTTTGCGTTATTACATTTTGCGCCGAGATCAATGCAAAATATAATGACGCAAAATGTATTGATACGATTTTTGGATTATTAAATTTTGCGTTGTTACATTTTTAATCAAGATTAAGAAAAATGCAATAATGCAAAATGGAATAACACATTTTTTCGTAAGTGAGGTTGAAAAATCTTTTCAATTGAGTTGTGGAAAATAAACGGAAAGAAAATAAGACAAAAGGAAAAATAAACATATGCTAATTCTTACGTTAGATCTAATTTCATCATATATTGATTTCATTAGCCATTTAAATTCAGTTGATATTCAAATCATAGGTGTTGCGAAGTAGAAACGTGCATGCGCACGTGTATTTGTGTGTGTGTGTGGGGGGGGGGGGGAGGGGGTCTGGGTGTGTGTGTGTGTGTGTGTGGTGGGTGTGTTGTGGTGGGTCGTTGATCAGTGTATCAGATTGCTTTTGCTTTTTGCTAGGCAAGTGCATGAAATTTAGAAAAAAAATTATTTATTTTTACTGGCAGGAGTAAATATAGCGGGGAGGGAGTTTCTTGACAATTAAGATTTCATACTGTTTTATAAATCACGTGCATTGCATTGCAGTCCAGAAAAAAATGAAATTCTCTCTCTCTCTCTCTCTCTCTCTCTCTCTCTCTCTCGCATATCACCCCGAACGACAAATTGATATTGCTTAACTCATAATTTTGTATTTCGAATGTTCTCCTAGATGGCTTGGACAATCTTTATGAAACTTTGCAGAGTATGAAACTCGCCAATTCTAGTCGAGCTTTCCAAATTGTAAAATTTTCAAAATGGTCATCGTTGCATACAGTAAAACACGCTTATAGCGAACACGCTTATAATGAATTGACGATTTTCATTCCCCTAGACTTCAAACGTATATTGTGAACTAAAACAATATAAAGAATCAATTATAGCGAAGCAAAATCGTCCGTCCCCGCACTTCGTTATAAGCCTGTTTTACTGCATTGACATTGCTCGGGTAATAGTTCTTGTGTAATACTGAATGTATATGATTACTGTGCTTTCAAAGATTAGCTCAGGGTGGTATACGCTATTGCTTGCTATGGCAGACTTTTTTTTTTTCTGTGATGTTAAAGTATGTTTCGTTGAACAAGTTTTCTCTATTATGTTGCAACAAGTCTACAGGATGTACTTGATGAATTGAATTGTTGGGATTTTCTTTAGAAAAGTTGGTTTTTACAACAGAGAATGTTAATTCCGCAGAACCATGGTCTTCAATTTTCCAGGTTATCAAAAGAAAGTAAAAAGCGTTTATTATATTTTTTTGCATGCCATGCACTTGTAAGGTGCGATCCTGTAGAGAATACTACTAGTATATTGACTAAAAATCTTTACAACATTACAATTATATTTTGGGGGTCCTAATCATAAGAGAAGTGTATTTTTGTTTTGGGTACTTTATACCAAACAAAAAGTTACACATCCAAATTAATTATCGAAAAAATTTTCATTTTTCAAATTTATGGTAAGTTTTAGACATCATGTTCAAATTATTTTTCATTGATTTAAAACATTACTCTTGAAACGGATAATTTCAACCCGAAAGAATGATTTATGGATTTTGTATTCTCTTTCAGCTTGCGAATAACATTGCGAACAGATTCCGACTTAAAAATTTCTGGGTTTTAGATACATGTAAATATTATATATATGTCACAGGGTGAATAGATTATTATTCCGATAAATATTATATATGATTGAATATTTTTAATGACCTAATCACTAATCATCATTTCATTATCTTCATCATCATTTTTATCTTTAAAGCATAGTGAATTATAGTCCTCTGGAATTTACTATCAGTTCATACATAAAATATCTCATACATATTCATGGGGTTGAATACTCATTGATGGATTTAGGAGTGTGAAAGGTCAAAGGTGTTTGTGTCAGAATGGATGAGGCTTGGAGTTGTATGATTGGGTGATATTTTAGAGTGAGAAGTGTGTGAGTGGTTTTACTAGTTTGGTATTAGGTGCGTCAAATACCCTAACTAATTCACTCCACCCTTGGACAGTCAGGAGTAAGGAAGAATTCCTCTCCTTCTACATAATTTCTTCCATTTAATAATAAGGACAATTTAACTGTCTATTCGGTAAGAAATTTTACCACCGTTGCTTTAGATTAATTAAATATATTATAAAATAATTATCCACTTAACGATAATTAGAACAGAAAAGCTAAAATATATTAAAATAATTTAATGTGTGAGTGTATTGGTATGAGAGTGTATTCATTTATTTTCATTATTGTTATTGTTACAGGTCACCTTTTTAATCTTACCATGTAATTGAAAGATATATCGAACCCAACAGCTATTTTCCTTGTTATTATTAAAAGAAGTATCAAATAATTACGTCTGTGACATATACATATCTTTCTTAAAAGTAATTTCTTTGTTAGAGAATTTTTTTTTATTTTAAAAATGCGGTTATTTGCGCTGTAAATGTTCATAAACAAGTAACTTTGAAAACTAGAGTGTTCCAAGGAACGCATGTGTCGCCTGCTTTGTAGCTTCATTGAAGATGTAAATAAACCTAAGTGTAGTTAGCTATTTATTTACTACTAGCATGATAGTTCATGAACACACAAAAAAGCATCCACACATAGTATAAGACTGCGATAGAGTCTAACATTCAAAGAAAATATGATTTCCAACCCTCAAATAAATAATTAAGTTGAAATTATTATAACTAATTATTTATCATTTTACATGTGTTAATACGTGTTTCAAAGTCTTTATACCAATTGTCACTCTACACGATCCGTTGTTGGATACCGATCCCGATGTATTTTCATAATATTTAAATATTAGTCTGTGTGGTAAATGAATATCATACATTTTCAATGTACAGTATTAAGAGCTCATAAATATCTATAAATGCTAATTATCAACATCCCGCCTTTCAAAATTCAAAAGTCTAAAGTTAAATTAGCTTTCCGAGGTATTTTTACAAAGTAGGTCAAAGGTCAAGGTCAGGTGAATTGTAACGCTGGTATTTTTCATAATGTTTTATGAAAATTAGTGCACATGCTAAACAGCATAGACTTACCACTTAAATATCAAAAAATGCTGTATATTGGCACTTTTAATGTTTTTGAAAGTATGTCAAAGGTTAAGGGTCATGAGGTCGGTAACCATGGCAATGCACAAATGCCATAGTGTCAAGAAATATATGTGCAAAATATAAAGTCCATATCACTTACAGTTCTTGAGATACAAGGTGTGACAGACCGACAGACGGACAGACAGACAGACGCCAGATAAAGTGATCCATAAGTGATCCATAAGTGCCGCTCTGCTCTGCAGGCGACACAAAAAGTATTTTTGTTTAATTTCTGATACCAAACGTTTTTCTACCAGATATTTTATTTAGAAAGAAATTGAAATTTTATTTTACAAGCTCGAGCACAAAACTCGAGTAAGTGAAAAAAAGTAATAATTTGTATATTATTTTTTCTCATTGGCATTTTTGTATAAATTATACTTAACATGATTTTTTCAAATTCAAATTTTCATATGGGATTTCCTTGACTAGCAACATAGGAAACAACATGCATTTTTTTCTTATCTGTACGTTTAAACAAAATGTGTAAATTTATTTTTATTTGCTACATCTGGAATACAGCATACAGTATGGCCTTGTGGGTAAAATCTTAGGATGTTTTTAGTGATTTAGTTGTTCGTTTGTATGTTGTTTGACGTCCTTCTCGAAAATTTCTCACTCATATGGAGACGCCACCACTTGCCGGTGGAGGGCTGCAAATTTTAACCTATACTCGGCACTCAGGGCCATTGATTGAGGGATTTTTTTCGTGCCAGCAACTACTGCGACACGGGATCTCTATTTGTACAGTCTCATCCGAAGGACTGGTCTCCACGTCCCGCAGTTGATTAAAACCCGCAACGTAAGGATCCTAATTTAGTAAAATTAGATTACCACAGTTGGTATGTTTTAAACCCTAACAAACGTATCTAACCAAGGTATCTAACCGAGGTAGGTATCAAAGTAATGGAAGTGTTTAACGCACATTCATTCACTTGTTATCTTTTAAGAATTATAATCTTTCTTTGAATAATTAAAATAAAGATAAAAGAATGACTTTTTATAATCTGTTACGCAATACATGACAAGAAATACATAATGCATTTTATCGAAGACAGTCCAATCTTCCTAGATACACAAAAGTGAAAGTGATGACGCTAATAGAGTACACATTTGTACATAGAACAAGGGACTCTAAAACATGGATGTGATGAAATGTTAAATATTTTTTCTTTGCAGGTGAAACAGTTATTGTTAAATTTTATTTCTTTTTTTACCTTTTTAAAACAAGGATAGATAATGACAATAGTTTTCTTGGCAAATTTTCCATAATTCCAAATTAAAAGATTCAGCTTTTATCCAATATATCAACTTGAAGAAGTATGATCTTTTCGAGAAAAGGAGTTTTCAAGAAATACGCTCTTGTTTCTCCTATTAATGTTTCATTTTTCTCCATGGCAGAATATAATCCACTACAGCATGATTTGAAAGAGTGCATTTTAATTTGCAGATTTAAAAGTTTTCAAACACTTTAAATTAATATGTTGACGGTGCAACCGTTTGGGCGTGCGCAGATACTTATTCAGTTTTAATTTAAATCCTTCTCTTCTATCCTCAAGTGACATTTGGTACCTTTAGACTCTGACGTCGCATGACATCGTATGTAAGTTGCATTACCAAACCGAAGAACAATGCTAATTTTAAATAAAGAATTTTTAATCTGCTATTCATCTGCAATATTCTTTAAATCAAGGTGAGTTCATTTCTTGTTGAATTTTCGTTCTTACGGCGAGAACGTAGTTTGCGGCGAAATGCAATAAGCGTTGCATTGTTGGTCCAGAGGTTACGTTGGTTGGTCCAGAATCGTTTCGATGAATGTGCACAGTCCAAATTTACTCATCGCCCAGGCATTATCGTTAGAGCTAGCTGCGCTCGCTTTGATAAACATGATAATGAGTACTGGAGATGGGGAATTTTAAATTAACCTCTCGTCCGCAGATTCAAAGCATGATTTGTTTCCTCATATTTTGATATAAAGATACACTACAATATTACACTGATACTGATACTGTCATCTTATTTAAAGTCAAGATCTAGTAAATGAGCTCAGTCTGTCTTGTGGTGCTAGATCTATTATGACGTCATGATTGATTTAATCTTATTTTTCCCCGTATTTTATGGCAATAACAGAATTAAGTAGAAAATAACACATTTTCATGGAATTCAGTTTGAAATCATTTAAAAGGGAACCCCGATACCTATATTCAATTTACTATCATTTTAAAGAAGAGGTCAAGAAGATATGAAAAACCGTTCACTTAGAGACTGTAGGAAATATTGATACATTTTTTTTGTCTGAGATGGAGAAAACTCCCATTTTTATACATGATTTTCTTATATATATATTTGGAATTGAAAACAATATGATTTGTATTCTTTTTCTTTTTTTCAATTATTTCGTAGTTATCAGTTATCAAATTTTGTGTTTTTGTGTACAAATATGGTTACAGTCATTTGAGTAATGCGCTGCTCTGATTACTTTAATTAACGAGGTTTGAAAAAAGTATGTAAAATCCGAGTCCAAAAGCCATGATCGCCAGATTGAATGGGAGACTGTCTGCACTATTTCCTGCAATGAAAGACAGTTTTCCATTGATCAGTTATTTAACAGACAGTTTTAGCATCATTTGGGAATATTAAGTACTAAGATATATTTTTCAATCACTTTACACACATGTACAATAAAACAAAGATGTGAGTATTAAATGTCTACTTTTCTGAATATGATAACATTTAATACTATTAGTGAGGTTAATTTAAAAACATAACTTGCTGTTGTTTTTAATAAGTACACACCGTACATGATCCAAAGTCAAGATTAAAGATTTTATTTTCACATTTATTTATCAAGCTGAAATAATTTATGACAATTACCACATCCGTATTGGGCCAGGGCTTGCCTGGCTTGGTTGTTGTATTGTTTTGCTTGGTTAGCGACCGTTCTAGAGAGGAGATCAGAACCACATGCAGATAACACATTGTCCATACAGTCAAGAAGTTGGTATGCTGCACTGCTCAACGAAGAGTATCAAAACAAGATTAATACTACCCATGCAATCTATCATGATTCATTTCTCATTGTTTTCTTAAGAAATTATTTATTCCTATTACACAAAATTATCTAAAAGAAAAATTTCTTTGAATTTTTCTTTGAAATGTTTTATGTGGGTTTATCAGTTTTAGACGGAGCCAGTTTTGAGTTGGTTTTGTTTCAGAAAAGGACAAAGTATTAATACAAAACACAGATGATGAAAGAAACAAAAACAGGTAATTTACCTATTTATTACATTTTCAACAATGAAAAACTGTAATTCATTTATCGAATAAAAGTGATATTTTGCCACAGTATGAAAGAAAATCAGATATGCGGTAAAACTCTTGATTTTCCTTCCCTTCACAAAAAGTGTTGTAAAAATACTCCCTGGTCTGTAGTAGGATAGATAGAGTAAATAAACCATCTCGACATACAGAGACTAAAGCTGCCTAAGTATCTCCAAACTAAAGAAATAAGGTATCATTTTTAAACTTTTATCGAGATGCAAATAGGGGTTGGCCGAGTGATCAAATCCCACAAAGCCTGAAAGGCTTAATTGTAGATTTGATCATGTACCAATACTCGTGAAAATACCAAAAAATCCTGTCCCACTCGTAAAATAAATTCCATATTCAACTACAAAACATTGAATATCTTCTATATACATTATGCAATCCCTAGATAAATGTAAGTCATAGTTTATGTGTACATGTAGTTATCCCTCTATAAATGTAGTTTATCATCATTTGATGAAGTTCGTCACTCCATCTTCATGGCAGGTGTTTTATGCTGTTTTTTTCAATTTCAATTTAGAAATGCAAAAAAAAGTTTAAATATTATATTAAATACAAGAACAGTAATTTTTGATATTTATTTTTTGTACTTTTTTGCCTTTCAGATGCTAATGAACGTTTTCCTCATAGGAGTGTTTAGTAAAGACAATTTAAATAAAATTAATGCTATATTTTTCTGCTATATTTTAGGAAAAAATTAAGACAGAGGATCTGAGTTTATAGCATTTATCAATTTATCATATCGGCAAAAGTAAAATTGTCTTAGCAAATTTTAGTCAAATAAAACTAACAATATAGGTTTAAGATGGGGTTTACCTGCACACTTTTCTATGATTAAATGCAGCAGCTCTGTAAGCACTGTGATACTGAAGGCTGCAGGTCAGAATTTCACCTGAGGTACATCCTGCAGCAGATCCTAAATAATAAATAATTAAAAACTGCATTAACACATCCATTTTTTTTTTCTTTTATTGTGGAAAATATTTATTTCCACAACTTTTAATATAAAAATTTCATCTTATTATTTTTTTTTTATTTATCTATCTATTTATTTATTTATTTTTTTTTTATTATAGGAGATGAATTCTATATCATAAAGCTTCAAGTCTGTGTTTTACCTTGAATGTAAACACTCAATGAAACCAGACTCAAAAAAAGACCCATGGTAGAAAGATTCTGCTTTGCCATGTCTTCGTCTTCTGTATAAATAATTATTATTAAATAAAAGGAAACGATATATTTCATGTCATTTAACAAGAGATTTACAAGTGACATATATGAATTAAACGTAAAGTCTATGTTCATGTAATTATGTAATCAACACATACAGTCTTGTAAGCCCTGCATTTTTTAAGAATAGTTTTTTGGAGTAGGTTTAAAAATTTCCTCAGTTTCTGTATTTAAAGTTTTAAGTTTAATTTAGATCTTGTTGCCTAGAATACTTAACCTTAAACACCATCGCCCTTTATCTATCACATAGGGAAAATCCCGAAAACGATTATACATTTCGAATATTTAAAACTGAATTCAATGTAAGACATCACTTTTTATTCTGTTAATTCCTCCTTGAATCAATAGAGAGGACCGATATCTAGAGAGGACTTATATATGCATATATACGTTCTGTCCGCGACAGACCTGTTTCGCTAAAAAAAAAAAATAGGTAGCAACTTTCCGTCGCCAAGTGCTCGGCACTATGAAGTGAAAAATGCGGGTCATTCGGACAGGTAATTGTAATGTGTAATGGTAATGCATTGTAATCATTACATTTACAAAGTAATGGGATGTTATGTGTAATGGAATCATCTTTCAATCACAAGTAAATGTAATGCATTACTTTAAAAAAAAGTTAGTAATGACCTTTACTTTTCAATTACATTTTAATTACATTTTTTAAAAAAATGTTTTTTTTATTATTGAATCAGAAATTAATCAAGGTCACTGAGAGGTTATCTTTTAAATTTATTACTGTTAAAGTCTTAAAATTAAAATGTGATACCTTACCATTTTTTCTAAAAAAATGTTTATTCAAGGTTATTGATAGGCACACTAAATAATTGTTTTAGCTAAAAACTAGACAAGAGAGTTATAACATCAATTGACGAGAGTTAGAAAAGAAATATTAAAAGAAATCATTGGGTTTTTTCAGACATCCATAAAACAAGTGACATTAATACATGTACTATACTGTGACTACCAATTAAGATACAAACTATATTTATATCTTGATTTTCTTTTTCTTTTCACAAAGTCCATTCCGGTGAAATGTGAAAAGATACAAGATCAGTATGATTGATTGATTGTTTGTTGTTTTACGTCCATTCGAGAATTTTTCACTCATATAGAGACGTCACCATATACCGGTGAAGGGCTTCAAATTTTGACCTTTACTCGGCACTCAGGGCCATTGAGCAGTGAGGGATTTTTATCGTGTGAACGCCTGCCGTGACACGGGGCCTCGGCTTTTAAAGTCTCATCCGAAGGACCCGCAACTTTCACTTCAAAGTGCCGAGCGCATGGCGAAGGAACAGTTCCTACCCATTTTTTATTGACTTGGGTCAGTCGCGGCCGAGATTCGAAATCACGACCTCCCAATCACGAAGCGAGCGCTCTACCGACTGAGCTACCGTGAACGGTTAAGATCAGTATGATCTACTTGAAAACACAAAGAGAAACTAAGGCCAAATTTTGATATTGTCCATCATTCACTTTTGGAAGCTTCAGAGTCACTTCTGTTTTGAACATATCTGATTGACAATATGTCAAAGGGTTTGGACACAAGTTCTAAAGACTTAGATAGTCCTCTCCCATACATAAAATCTTAACAGCCATACAACATTTACAGAGATTTGCAATTTAACAATAATATACATGTACATAGATGAACAAAAACAATAGTTATTATTGCTAAGGAATATCAGTTGATATAAGGATTATTATAATGACGTTAATAACAATATTAAAATAGTTTTAAAAGGTAGTAAAGTGATTAAGGACAGGCATTCATTTCAAAGCCTTTGTTTACTGTCACTTCAGAGAGTCACTTCTAACTTCAATCCCTTTATACAGGTACTGGTAATTATCACCTTTGATTGTGATAAATTCATATCTTGATTGATTATGCCTGACCAGCTAATTACAAGTGCTAATTCGTTAAATTATTCATACATAATCGTTTTACATTTAAAGCATTATCAGTTAATTAAGTATCACTTAACATAAAACATATAGACTAGTATGAAATGTTAACATCTATTTAAAAACAAAACAAAACCAAGGGAACTAACATCAGAGACTGAAAAAAAAAACTACAACATTAAAAGTGTTCCGATCCACTTTCTTTGTCAATTGAAAATTGGTAAACTACATGAACATGATAAATGAATCAAAAATACCAAATACCACTCTGACTTATAGACCTAAGTGATAAAATATTGACCCAGCATAAAGTATGAGAAAGTTAATTTATAGATAAATTGTTTAGTCATAAAATTTGTGTTTTTCTCTTATAAATGTAAGGTATAATGTGATTTATTACTTTAACAAAGTTATTGTACTTTAATTAATTACTTTTCTGAATGAGAGTAATGGTAATGGTAATTGTAATGGTAAAAAATCCAAAGTAATTGTAATTTAATGCATTACATTTCAAAGTAATTGACCCGAGGTATGCGACTTTAAAGGCCGAGGTCCCGTGTCACGGTAGGCGTTGGCACGATCAAGATCTCTCACTACTTAATGGCCCTGATTGCCGAGTAAAGGTATAAATTTGAAGCCATTAACCGGTATATGGTGTCGTCTCTATATGAGTAAAAAAATTCTCTAATGGGACTTAAAAAGACACAAAGATAGTTTCTTCTATAAAACCCTGCATGCCTTTACCAATTATTCGTGTGCTTATTCTACCTGGTTTATTTTATTTTCTCTCTGAAGCTTTACTATCTTGCCTTTGCGTTACATAATATCCCTAGCTATTGAATCAAACAATGGTTGGGCATGGTCAACAGGAATAGATTTGGTTACCATCGAAATTGGAAACAAGTATTTTACGTCATAGAAGTATAGTCGAAAGGCAAGTTAAACCTGTTAGTCAGATCGGCACCATGTCTAACCATTCAAGGAGTAGATAATAAATATTCAGGAAATCTTTCTGTTCTATCTTACTCGTTCAGTGTATTATATTTCAATGTAGTTGATGACATAATTGAAAATATTCTTGGGAAAAAACTTGCTTTTAATACAAAAAAATATATTTTACCAGGGATCCTTGTTTTCTTAATGAGTTCAAGGTCATTTTTCGTTTCTTTTTCTATACAAATTTGATAACTTTGAAAATCTTAAGGGGGCCCCCTCCCTCTAGATCTACGCATGCATTTAGTAAACTTAAGTAGAGCAAGTACCTGCTTTTGTAACAGTTTTAGACCTATACATGATTTTAATACAGAGTATCATATAATTACTTTATGATAAACGTGATGACTTTAACTTTTCTATCGTCAACTTCTCTTACTTATGCAGCAATATACCTTCATCACCTGCATACGGGGTATATATCTCTCAGTTGATTCGATACGCAAGAGCATGCTCTACGTATGAACAATTTCTAAAACGAGGTAAATTATTGACAAACAAGTTGATGAAACAAGAATATCAGCTGTCTCGTTTAAAGTCATCATTTCGTAAGTTCTATGGTCGATACAATGACCTTGTCAGCAAATACAATTTATCATTGAGTCAAATGCTGACTGACGTTTTTCATACTGATTGTTAGGCCATTATTTACACACTGAATTGTCGACGGATTTTCCGTTATTTCCCGATCATGACAAGGAGCACACGGCGGGTGTGGCCGGTCGGCAGGGGATGCTCACTCCTCCATGGCACCTGATCCCCCCTCTGATGTTTAGAGGTCCGTGTTTGCTCTGCTCCTATTTTGTATTGTTTAATGGACTTTTGAGCTTTAATACTGTTCGTTATCTCCATATATTTCATAATAAGTTCTAAGGCATACATTCTTAAAATTGCTTTCTTTTGTATTGGTATAATCCTTAATTTTAGATACAGAAAATGGCTTATTTGTTTCTTTTTATAATATTGATAATATTTTTAGGCTTATTAATGCATGATTTGAATCGTTGAGCTAAGTATAGAAAAAAAAATGTATGTTTGTATGCAATAGATCACCCTTCCAATTGCCCCATTAACCAACTAGACACTGCCATCATTTTCTAATATGTATTCCTGTTTGATTTCTATGAATGAGACACTTGACCACTGAATATACACAGTGCATCATGCATAATTTTTTTTTACCATGAAAGCTTTATCCTTTGGCATAATTCCATCTCAATAACATTAGGCTCATAATTTATAAATCAAATTGTTACAAAATATAGTAATAAACGAAATCATACCTCAGTGATGTTAACAACAAAAGTGTCTGTGAAAATATTTATTACTATTTTTGAGGATATTCTCTTTATCGTCCCCTTAAATAATGTGCAGCCAGCGTTATCTCTTTTGTAATATTTCTAAAGCCTTGTTTTCTTTTATTACATTTCATTCTTGATCTGGAAAATTTGTAGGGAAATACCCTTTTTCATAGGGACGGCATACATAACATACACAATTTAGAATTCAGGTAACAAAACCCTGCCGTACATTATGTTTGTGGAGGATTTTTTTCCCAAAGCGTAGAAAAACATCATAACTTGTCAGTAAAATCACTTCACTATACAAGTAAACAATCCTAGCTTTGTTTTACAGATGTTTATTGACCCCAGGGGCTGAAATAGAATTTAAAAACCATTTGGCAAATTAAATGATATGCACATATACAAAAAGAATTGTTTTTACAACAAAAATTGAAGCAAAGAGGCTTGCTGTGATTATGAAAAGAGTTCGACGGACAGAAGGACTGATATAGCAATACAGCCGAGCGTGTATATTATGAAAACGTAAATCATACATTTAATACAGTTTCAACAGTGAAATACTGTAATTTATTTATTGAATATAAGGGATATTTTGTTATAGTGGGAAAGGATATCAAAGTAATTTTCTGTCACAGTGCGAGTGAATATTAGAAGTGCGACAAAACTCTCGATTCTCCTTCCCTTCAAGAAGAGTGTTCTAAAAAAAATAGTTTGACCAGTCATAAGATAGAGAGAATAATAGACCTTCGTGA